CCAACCGAAAGAAGAGCTCAAAACACATTTTACGACAAGGGAGGGCTCGTACAAATTGATGACTATGGCGGAATATTCGCGTCCGAATAGGGTGCCAATGAACCAGGTCGTGAGTGATCTTCAACCATTTCTGATTTTTTTTTCTAATTTTTTGCTTTTTTGTTTTTTTAGTGTTCTTTTTTCTTGTCTGATTCCTTGGTCTTCTCATTCAGATGCAGCCAGGTACTGCGAATGTTGCTGGTGCACCTGTTCGTGTTTCTTTCCTGACTTTGAACGCGGGGAACAAATCACCATCACCTAGAACGGAGGTTATTAGCTGTCAATGACGCGCTGTTCGGCTTGGAGGGGACCTTTAGCTTGTTCCTTTTGCTGGTTCATGTTCAGGCGGGGTCTTTGGTGAGAGTGTACTCTTACGAAGCTGCAAAATGGTGCGATTGAGTCAGTACCATTCGGTGCCCCCACCAAGCCGAACTGCTTCGCTTTTTGATATTATTGTGTGTCCCATCGTCACCCATGGCTGGAAATTCTTTTTGCAGGAACAAGATGAATTTGATTGTGATGAGAATTATCGTGAAGATATCGCAACAGCTGATAGAATTTGTTTTAATGTCGGACGGGAGTTATATGTATATTTGTATAAGTGAGTTCTCAAGCAACTGTAGTTGTTTTGTTCTTCATATTGGTCATTGTTTTCAGAGGAATTCATACTGCTGCTGATTTGAGTAAGCCTATTGATAAACGCGTTTACAAAGGAACTTATCCCACTTGTCATCATTTTAATCAGGAAACGGCTACTAGCACTAATTGCAGGTTCGTGGATTTTTTCGCTTTCCAGTAAATGTTCTCCTTTTTTATTTACTTTTGTTTCTTTGCCCCTCCCTCTTTCTACTTGTCACTGTTAGAATGCGTTTATACTTTGCGGCAGCGTTTTGAGCGCTTGTCAGCGTCTTGAACGTTTTGAGCTACTCGGAAAGTATAGGTATCGATCCAGCGTTTGACGATAATCGATAGCCATAGTTTCTTCGTCGCTCGAAACGCTAGATCGATACCTATGCCTTACTATTCGTTGAAACGTCGGCGGACGCAGAAAACGCTGCTGGACGCTCAACACGCTGACGCAAAGTATGAACGCACTCTTACGGTAGACTGGCGATAGGGTCAGGGGACGCCCCCACCGTTGGGGAAAATTTTGCAAACTAGACCTCTAAAGTTCCCGCTTGAGATGAGCACCTTCTCCATCCCTCATCTTACATATCTCATTTACGCATCTCATTTATACTTATTTTCAGCCTTATTATTGGATTTTCCGCCGGGCAAATTCAGTTGATTGATCCATTTCATAAGGAGTATCAAGCGAGTCGCCTTTATAACGAAGAGAGGTTTATAGATAAGACTGGCGTCACATGCTTACGATGGGTTCCCGGTAAGAATTACTTGATGCGAATCTTCTTGTTTTGGCAAATTATTATGTTTTGGTGAATTATTTTCGTGTTAGTTTTTTCAATAAGCTTTAGGGTTAACGTTTCGCTCTGAGTGCTTGCAACTTCTTCTCGATGCTTCGCTCGGACGGCTCCAAATCCGGAAACCGCCTATGTACGAAGATCATACGGCGCTATGGAGCATGGCGAAGATTTTAGTATGGTAATTCGTGATCCAGCAGTGGACTACTTATGTACGCAATACGTAAACAGGTCTAACGGCTATCACGAAGAGAGATTAATAAACCACCAGAACGCAATACGGGCGCCACGAGACGTTACCGCGTTGAATTATTCACACTAATTAACACGTAACCATAGGACTTTAAACTCATATGATTACGGATAGTGCATACCCTACAACAGTCTCAGATAAGGTCCACACAATACATTTCCAAGATTCGCAGCAAGGACCTGCCCACATATCTGTCAAACACTTGAAGGAGAAGGGTGGCTTAGTAGACCTACAGCACGAGGTCGTGTGGCTATAACTCACACTCCGACCCGCCAGCCGAGCTCGTCTTTGATTCTGGTCGTCCTGCAAGGGCGTCCGCTCCGTATTATGTTTCCACCCAGAGAGGAGGTTGTTTCTCTCAACATCAGAGTCAGGAATAAAATTTATCTCATAGGTCGATTCTCTGACATGTGACACACATACAAAGTCACGACACATAGTGCGCCGCTCCACTGCCATCAAGAGAGGGGAGCACTGCACTATTGTTTACATGGGAAGCAGCTTGATAACGGTGAGTTTTGGTACGTTTCTAGGAAGATGGTAGGTGAGTTGACAGTGAAAAGCAGTTCGCCGGAGTAGATCGCAGTATATGTTGACAGGGAGTCACACGGGCGTATATCTTCCAAAACACTAGTTGGTGTTTACTCCTGTGTTGAATGATGTTGCCGTTCGTAAGTTACCACTTGACTTTTCACATGAAAGCTGGGAGCATCGCTCCCAAAACGCGTATAGCGAAATAAACTATAATTACTCCTAACGCTTCTTGGTCCTCGTGATTCGGTAGAGCATGGAGATTTGGCTTATGATCTAAAGGCTTCAAAAAGCAGAGAAGATATCACAAAGTATCAATGAGTTTAGTAGAGGACAGCAATGGGGGGGAAGAAGACAAGTGTGTGCGACAAAGATAACGTGAGACTCACTTGGCTGTCCAAAGTTCTAACCTCTTGTATCCAGTCGGCTTCTCTACACGTAGACACAAATTGGCACGCAGTTATTGGATATAAGGACTCGTAACAAATATGTGCCCTGAGAAATGAGACGTACTCAGTAAATTCTCTGAGGCCTGCTCCGGATAACGCTGCGCGAAAGATATCATTGTCCATTGGCTCAATGACACAAGGAGTTAGATCACGAATCTCTACTTTCAAATGTCTTCGACATGGCAACGGAGGACAGCAGAAGTGTTAGCTACCCCCCCCCCCCCACCGTTCTCGGTCGCCGAACGCCCTGGAGCAATGCTGTGTGGCACAGTGCTAGCTAGCTGTAGATGTCCTATGTTTCTAAATCGTTTGTGAACTTGGTATGCTGTAAAGCAGTTTTCCAGAGTAAACCTGTTTATGGCGAAAAAACTTGTACTTGAGATTATATCGGAATATTTTTAGGGCGATAAATATTCGGTGTATATGTGCAAAGCGAAAACAACAAGAAATCCTGTGTATCGCTGGCAAATCGGTGAGGGCGGCATCAATCAGTTTGCTTTCTCAGGACCAGATGCGAAGATGTTGGCTACTGTAGGACATGTAAGTTTCTCATTTTATCAGTTCTCCAGAGTAATTAATATACGCTGCTGCAAAGTTCGCTATTCCTGTCAGATATTCGCCCACTTCCCCTTCCCTGCTCAAGCGATAATGGGAGCCGGGCCGCAGCGAGGTTGGCGGACCTACTAAGATGGTATCCGGGGTTCGAATGATGCTCGCTGTCGAACTTACAGTGTTGGGCGGCCACTGTCCTTCTGAGCTGCAAAAAATCCGCCTATACCTGTAGCACCCCTTTACCCCCACCCCCTCTCCCTGTTTTCTTAATCTTTTTATCAAAAATCGGTGTTTCCTCTCCTTGACTATATCTTTGTTTCGCTGTTTATTTCGCTGCCGATAATAATAAAGTAAAGTAAAGATGTTGCTGGTTGGTCCCTTTCAGTCCTTGGTTTAGTGGTATAGCGGTGGTGATAAGATCGGAGAGTCCTTTCCTGATAACTCCCTTAATTTCTGTTTTGCTCGTGGTCATTTTTCCGGGGAATGGCGAGGTACTGGAGACTTGGCATGGAGTTAACTTTTGGCCACCTTAGTATGTCGCCGTGCTTTTGCAAGCGCTGATCCCAATTTCATCTGAGTCCGACGGTGTTTATCACGCACGTCCTGCCGTTACGGAAATTTTTGCACCCTCCCCCCACTTCAACGATACCTATTCTGGTAGGACCCCCTTCTCGTCCCTCATGCTACCTCCGATCTTTCTGAGCTCCCGTTTCCTTACCACTTTTCTCGAGTTTTCCTCAGAAGTTCTCCAATTGTTCCGCAAAATCTGCCGCTAAACTGAGGAGATTGGGGAACGGAATCAATAGCGCATGCGAAACAGG